GCCAGAGCGTGGCTTGATTGGCTGGGTTGGACCATGTGGTGTGGAAGCCGATGGTGGCAGTGGGAGACACATAAACATGGAGGTCATCTTTCACGAGAGGGTGAGTGAGTCTTCTGCCTTCCCTTACAGAGGGAGTGTGAGGTTAAAAAGAGGTGAAGCAAGAGGAAAAAAAGGCGGCTGGCATGGAAGCTTGCTCGACAGCGAAACTTTGCTATTTCGGTTCCTTGGGTAGTTCAAAGGCTGGGATGTCTACAAAAATCTCTTTTTAGCCTTTTATACTTTATATTCAAACTGCAGAAGGGAAGAATAAGAATAAAGCCAATGTTGTGATTTGGAGGTATTATTAATAATAATATATATTAATTATGTATTGGTCAAATGTAAAGGTAGGCCTACAGTATGAGGTTTAATCAGATCTATTTATTAAATTGGGTTTAACTTAAAGGTAAATTAAAAGTAATCTGTTCACTGACAAAGTTTCAACTTTAATTTGTTTCAAGTCAATATCCATATTAAGCTCCAAATGTAAATTTTTCCACCTTGACATCTTAAAAATATTTCAATCTTTTACAAGCAACCAAATTTTGTTTTATTTGGCCAATTTCATTCCACATAGAAAGCTGACATTTCCACTCATTAAACGAAATGGGAATGCCAGTGGTAAATGTCCCAAAAGATTAATAAAATGCCTTCTTGTATTTTAAAGCCTCACAGTGCATGGTAACATTAGTAGTATTAACTTACCTTGAACAAAATCCTTGTCTTTTAGATACACTAAAAATTGAAAGGGTTTTTTTTCAACTACAAAGGTAAACCTTGTAGGGTAGGCAAGGCAGGTTGTATGATGTGTGTAAGTTCTGGCACTTTTTTTTTTTTTTTTTACAAAAAAAGCACTGATTATACATATAATCTGAAGAAATGATATCATTACCATAACACTTTACAGTGATGAGATGGGATTCACATCTGCTCTCTACTGATCCTAACAGAATTTACCCATTTTTTTCACAAATTCTGCATATTTGGTTGTTACTGAATTCTTCATTACATTCTAGTTACTAAACTCCAAATTCTGTTCTCAAATTAATTTTATCAGCATAGATCCCATCAGCATATGGGAAGGATTTTTTTAAGCAGCACAGTACATTGGTTTGCATGTGTTTTTATGTTATTACATTGCTCATATCCATAAGTCACTCTCATTACATTTGAGAATAAGCCATTTGGAGTTTTTCTCTGTAATTCCTAATGATCTAATTAGTGAAGAACTAATGAAACATATCTAGATAAAATATCCACCATATGGACAAGTACAATTTAAGTAGAATAATTTAGCTTCATAAGACTCGTTATTTCAAGTGCTGAGGCACAATCTGTCCGGAAGATTAGATTAATGATGCACCTGCAAGGAGAACACTTTGTCTAATGATGCTGCTGTTAATAGTTCCTTATGAAATAATTTGTGAGATTATAATGTTGGGATCATTTTTATATTATTCTTTATGAATAGTATACTACGGTACTTTGTGTATTTAGTTTTAAATAACTGTGGTATGTGAATCAAGTCACTGTGGTTTATGTCAAATCAACTTATACTTTATTCAATTATGGTTAATGATCAAACCATAAATCATCGTTTCTATGTCCATCCTCGGCACTTACCAGGCTTTCTATGCACCTGATTCATGTAGAAAATTAACTAATTTTCAAAATGGGAAGTTGGCATGCTGTGAAACAAAATGCTAGTTTTTAACATGATTTTCACTTCTAAGAAAGCCTCTGGACCCATACAGACCTATGACTTCCTTAGAAATAAAAATTATTGGCAATTATAATCATTATATTTAAATGCGGAAGCAATGACCTTGAGAAACAGGAACAACTGCAACTAAGATTATGGTGAGATAAAAGAAATCCGAATCTTTTTCAATACCATAGTTCAAAAGTTCAAAGTTCTTTCTATCCTGTTTCTTCAAAGTCCAACTTTTGCTTTCTATAGCGTCACATAGACACAGAGAATTGCTCGTACAATTGTGATTTTGGAGGTATAGACACATCACATCTGAATATCTTTTCCAAGGCCTTCACAGTTGGCCTTTCAAGTGCTATTCTGTGATTATTTCTTGACTGCTTGTCCTTTTATTAGTATTGGTTGATCCTAAAAGGCAGAAGTTATCTACCACTTTGATATCTTTATTGTCAATTCTAGGGCTGGTTATTTATTTATTTATTTATTTATTTATTNGAAAGTAAGGAGATCCGGAATAATCCGGATCTCGGGGGGTAGTTCGTTCCAGAGGGCAGGGGCACCCACAGAGAAGGCCCTCCCCCTGGGGGTCGCCAGCCGACATTGCTTGGCCGACGGCACCCTGAGGAGACCCACTCTGTGGGAGCGTACCGGTCTATGGGAGGGAATCTGTGGCAGAAGGCGGTCTCGGAGGTTGCTGTATCGTCATTATTTTGGTCTTCTTTATATTTAATTTTAAGCCAGATACAGAAGATTGCTTTTTAGCAAACAAAGTTGAAAGTGATGTAAAAAAACTGACAAGAATTGAAAGATTAAAAAATGGACACAGGTAAAAGTCAAGGCTTCATATTAGTGCACATCATGAATATTTTATTGCTAATATAATCTATAAGGCAGAGTAGATTCATACAGAACATTAAGGACTAAACCATCCAAATGATACTTTAATTTAGGTGTACTGTAGGAACTGGGTCAGGAACTGTAATCCTCCCCAAAAAACAAATGAAGAAAGCCATTTCCAATTCATTCTTTGCACTGGCTCAGAATCAGATCTGAGCCTCTGCCCTTCCAACACATTATTGGTAATATCCAAGAGATTCAATTTTTTCCCCCTGGTTCTTTATTGGTTTATCTGAGATTGCAGTAAAGCTCTTTTCTCCTTTTGTGTTGCTGCAGCTTGTGGGTGGTTTGTTTCTAGTTGACAGGAACTCTTGCTTTCTTCCTGTCTCCGTGTCCAGCCCCTGGTATCATCTGTAAGTATTTAACATGTATGTTTCCTCTTCTCTACTCCTGTCACAATGTGCAACCATGATGAAAGGCGGTGGGAAAAGTAAATGGTTGCAAAAGCCCAGTGCCTTTGTCCTGTCACCTTCACAACGTAGACGAGGATTTTAAATTAGGGAAGAAATGCAGATCTGCAGCTAGAAAGCCTTTCCTTAATGCAACTGCTGTCTCTCTCCCCTCCTTTCTGAGACATGACCAAATGATCAAATTCACAATGAATTGAAAATGTTAAGAGGGAGCAGTGAGGGCTGTGATAGGGGAGCTACTACAGTAATGACTTCTTTGTATTCCCCTATTGGTCAACTAAAAGTGGATACTGGGTGACTCAGAGGGTTCTGCAGAGTTTTCTGCATTTTGAGGATGAAAGAAGTGAAGATGAATGCAGACTGGGCTTGAGTTGAAAGTTCCTGAAAGAAAAACCAATACTGTGTACATAATTTAATAATAAAGGATCAAGAATGCTGCAACTGCACTCTATGCTTAGACCTTTGGTCCAGATGAGATCATATTCAGAATATGCTAGACATAATGCAGGTGAATGAGTTAAATGGTCAAAAGCTATTCTGAAGTGCACAGATTATATAGTCTTCACCTAGTAAAAAAACAACAACCTTGAATTATACTAAATCAGTTTGTTATTAAAACAAGGAATGGATACAATATCTCTACCCCAAAGACGTTCATTTCTAGCTCTTGACATACCGTAGAATAGGTGGGAGAAAAAGGCAGATTAAACAATGACCATACTATGAATAGAGTTAGCATTTGATACACAGCAGTGATGTGAATTCTTTCATAATAGCATTGTGGTTTTGTTAAATGACTGCTTACCTGAGCCTTTGTCTTGGGAAATAATTTATTGTAGTATATGTCCTGCCAGCCAAGAAAGGATCAATATTTACTTACAGTACTTGCTTCATTTTGTTTTCAATATTGCCTTAGTGTCTCAGGATTGATGGTGCTATTCAGAAAAGTGCAGAAAACTTTGGGCCAGATGCAATGTATTTGGTAGACAAATATGATGTACCGTAAGAATCTCCACACTGTGAGTTGCAACATCTGATATTTAAGCTGGCTATGCAATATTATCATGCATTACATTTTCTTACACAATTCTTACTATACTGAATTACTTAAAAGAACAGAAGGCCATCCTAATGGAGATACATATGGTTGGTTCCATAATTAATTTTAGACATAGAATTATAGAAATTCCACATCCTGTAGTATTATGCAAAATTCAATCACTTTTCTGTTGTCTTTCAAAATTTCTACAACTAAGGAACTGGGAAGAAGTAACTAACTTAAGTATTGCCTTAACTGGGCATTGTGCTTTTTGGGAGAATCCACCCTTTTTTAAAAAAACAAAACCCAAATGCACAAAAACCTCGACGTAGATGGATTGCATTAGCTTCCAACTTGCTTGGAGAACAAATCCTTTGACCTGGATGACCCTCCCTCGAATCCTTTTATGGCTGGCAGTGGACTGGAGTTACAGGGGGCTGAGAATGGAAAGAACCAATCCCAGATCCACCGGCGTTTCTCGCAGTTTAGCCGGCGAAGGGCTTAAATCTCGAGTTATTGGGAGCCGGTGGATGTCGGCGTCCTCGTTGAGGGAGCGTTTAGGCTTCCAACAACCCGCTCCAAACCGTCACCAACCTCAGCCCCTTTGGCTTTATGACTGCGAGGGGTGGGGAAAGGGTCGAGCCGTATGCCCGCATCCCCCCTCTCCGCCCCGACCCGGCGGAACTGCTCTCTCGCCATTTTCCCCGAAGCCATTTCCAAGGGGACGCCCCGCCGCTTCCGCCACCCCCGCAGCCGGCGGGGAGCGCCTCACGACCGCTCCGCGGGGCCGGCACGACCTCCCCTCTCCAGCGCTCCCTCCGGGCCCCTTCTGCTCTCCGAGATCCCGGATTGGCTGGGCGGCCGCCTCGTCCCAGAATGCATTGCATGGCGCGTCATTGAAGAGAGACCATGATGGCGGCGGCCGCGGCGGCGGGGGGAGCCTCCGAAGTGATCGCTCAGCTGGAGAGCGCGGCCAAAGTGCTGATGGTGAGGGAGGCGCGCGGGTCGGAGGGTCGACAGATCGGCCGGGGTCGGAGCGGATGGTGGGGTGGAAAAAGCCGACCTCTGTCCTTAAGGGAAGCCCTGTGAGTGCCCCTTCCCCGGGGATGGCTCTCTTTGGACTCCTCTAGGGAAGCATCCTTGGATAACCCCGGGAGATGGCATTGCCTTTCGTGCCCTAGAAACTTTGCAACAGCCCTGGTCTTTCTCTCCCATTCCTTCTTGTCTGAAGCTGAAGCCCCGTGCATCTTTCCTCCAGCATGAGCCTCTTTGACCCCAGGCGGGCAAAGACGGGCAGAATCACGTTGCTGGCCACCCTTCGCTTTTGTCCCTGTCGTTTTCCATAACCTCTTTAATGTTGTGTGAGGCTTGCATTCCATTCATTGATACCATCATATCCCAACGTAATCCTTTCCTTTTCACTTCGACATCCACGTGCTCAAATTTGGAATCAGGAGTGGTTTCCCCACTTCCCAGTTTCTCTCCTGGTTCTCCCCTCCCCCTTCCCTTTTAATACCATTTTTCATGTCTTCTGATAAGAATGTTTTAATATCAGCCTCTAATACACACCCGTTTTACCAACACTGCATGTAGTGTATTGCCTTTTTCCTCTTTTTTTCTCATATTATTACACTCTGCTACTGAAATGGCTGTTCAGTTTGCTTTTTGTCTTTCTCAGTGGTGGATATGTAAAAGAACCAAGTTTCAATAGCAGAACCTTTTCTTTTATGAAGATTTTCTGCAAGGCTAGAAACTCATGCTCCAAAATGCTACTTGTGATTAAACTAAAATAACTTTGTATTTGTTCTCTCTTGTGAATTAAATATATTAAAACAGGAAAAAATCAAAACTTCTCAAAGAGCAAAGAATGCTTGCCTATAATCAGTAATCTTCTAGATTAGTGGCTTTTGCTGTACCAATGTATGGAATGTGTATAGACTTACTGAGTAAATGGATTATAATTTGCTCTACTTCCCAGGCAGTAAATAATGAACATTTTCTATAATAACTCCATGCAAAAAAGAAACAAGCTACAATCAGGATAGTTTTATATCTAGATTTGTTACATCAGCTTTCTTTTCTTGAGTTCAGAATTATGCTTTATATATTTTATTTTCCCCCTTCTTAATAGTGCTTTGGTGTGATAGGCTATCAGAGTGCTTTTTGGAAATATCAGATAGACAGACTGATGACATAAACAGATTAAGAATCCAGATGGAAATAAGATTTTGAAATTAATTATAAGAATCTTTCCTGTGGGAAAATGCTGTTGTTTTGAATTCTTAAAAAAATAATAGGATAGGACTTTGAACACTGAAATTTGACTTACTAATGTAGACTGGAGCAATGTCATTTTAGTTAGTGAGATTATTCATATATCTGTTTCTTGTTATCAAATATACATCAATGGCTCTTTTATGGCAGCTGCTTTACAGTTTAGCTGAATAACCCGACATGCAATGCAAATAACACTCCTAGCACATTAAAAAGTCAGGACAAAAGATTCCTAGCTAGCCCTCACCCTCTGTGGTACAAAGTTTTATTAGAAGGTAGGATACAGCATTCAGATAAATAATAATTCTAAGATGATATAGTCCAGTACTGTACTATATGAGATCTCTGAACATCTAGCTTGGCTCTTAAGAAGTCTTTAAACTACCTGAGGCAAGAATTCAACTTGTCTTTTTGCTGCTAAGCTTGAACAATGCAAAAGGTGCGACCCTGGTTGCCACTAGATGTGTGCCAGATGATATACTTATTATAGTGAATATTTGATTGCAAATACATTTTTATAACAATTTTATTGAAATTTAAAATTACAAAAATAAACTAACAGGAAGTAAGAAAATATAAACAAGAAAAAAAGAAATTGCAAAAAGGAGGAGAAATATATAAAAAAGAAAAAAAAGAAATATAGAAAAAAATAACTTCCCCTTCAACAAAACAAGTATAAACATTTTCAATAGCTTAACACCTCTTAATATTTCAACCAAAACTCTCTTCATCCCATAACTCATATATATATAATAAGAAAATCAATTTCATAATTTATAATTCTTGGTTGACTGAATATGTTTAGTTAACTTATGCTGATTTCTTCTACCAATCAATGCAAACTTTTGGGGTTTTTTAGTATCTAGATCTTCAAACTCTCTGAGTGATAAACCACAAAGAACATATATCTAAATGAACTTATTTGATAGACTTTAAGATTGTCTTCTACCTTACCTTCTTTCTTACCCTGCTGATCCATCCGCTGTTCTTGCCTTCCACTGTCTGTCCCCCTGGGCCCTATTTCCTCCGATCTTTCTTCGTGCTTGGGTGTGCGCACACAAAGCCACATCCTATCCTTCTGCCTCATCCGCCTGTGCTGAAATAGGCTGCTTGGCTCCCGGAGTTCGAGGATTGTATATTATTGGATATATATAGTCCTCGACTCTCAACAGTTCATTTAGTGACCGTTTAAAGTTACAACAGCAATGAAAACAGTGACTTATGACCATTCTTCGCACTTACGACTGTTGCAGCATCTCCATAGTCATCTGATCAAAATTCGGATGCTTGGCAACTGGTTCATATTTATGATGGTTTATATTTATGATAGTTGCAGCATCCCGGAGTCATGTGATCCCCTTTTGCAACCTTCTAGCAAACAATGTCAATGGGAAAGCCATGTTAACTTAACAACCATGTTACTAACTTAATAAATGCAATGATTCACTTAACAGCTGTGACAAGAGAGGTCATCAATGGAGCAAAATTTACTTAACAGTTGTCTCGCTTAGCAGCAGAAATTTTGCGTTCAGTTGTGGTCGTAGGTTGAGGACTATGTTTAGCTCCCTGTTCTTTCCAGTTGCTATCCCTAGCAAAGATCCTTCCCCTAAAAATGCAGCTTTCCTACAGCAGTTGGAACAACTAAAGATGCCAGTGATACCAATGAGACCAGACTTTGATGTTTCAGGTCTTTAAATTGCTTAGAAACGGTGGTGGTTGGGGAGGGGGAGGATTTTGGTTCAGTATGTAATACTTGGATATATTTTGTAAGAACGTCAGTGAATTAACCTTTTTTCCCTTTTTGGTGTAATTAAGCTCAGCAGCCTATCAGAGAAAGCAAGATGCAGTAACTGATGTACGTAGTTTTACCCTGCAGCAACTTTATGAATCAGAGATGTCTGCATATTAGTATGTGCTGCCATCTTCTTGTAAATCTAGAACACAGTACAGTACAGTACAGTACAAATAGCCCTTGACTTACAACAGTTCATTTAGTGACTGTTTAGTTATAACGGCACTGAAAAAAGTAACTTATACCAGTGACCAGTTTTCACACTTACAACCGTTGCAGCATCTCCATAGTCACATGATCAGAATTCAGAAGTTGGCAACTGACTCATATTTATGACAGCTGCAGTGTCCCAGGATCATATAAACACCTTTTGCAACCTTTTGACAAGCACATCAATGGGGAAACCAGATTCACTTAACAACCGTGTTATTAACTTAATTAACTGCAGTTATTCACTTAACAACTGTGGCAAGAAAAGTCATAAAATGGAGCAAACCATACTTAACAAATGTCTTGCTTAGCAATAGAAATGTTGTGCTCAGTTGTGGTCGTATGTCGAGGATTACCTGTGCAGTAAAGCAAACAGACAGAAGTCTTGCCAGTGAGAAAATAATTCTGAAAAATAGGAGGTAATTCATGATAATCATGCACAGCTTCTAAATACTGCCTAACATTTCTGGCAGAAGATCAGGCATCCCTAAAATTTGTGGTTTCTAAATGATTGACTTTCAAATCCCATAATTTTTGCAAATAGAGCTATTAAAATTGCTGAGATTTGCTAGTCATGACCAGCCTAAATCCCACTGATTTCACTAAGTATATTCTCAGTGTGACTAAGTAGGGATCAAGCCTTAAGCTTTTATACAATACTGTATTCTTATGTGTTCATAATATCTTAATGAATTCTGTGCCATGACTGATGATCTTGGCATGGGCTTTACTCTGAAAGTTGCCTGTAAATATTTTAAACAAAGAGTTAGTTATAGAACTGTTGCCTTTGCCAATACTTGTTTGAGGAAAGGGTATGAAAGACTGAGTAAAAGTATATAATACTTTCATTATTATAGAATAGTCTCTAAAGCAGCTTTTCAAAACTTTCTATTTTCCTGTAATGCATCTGGAGCACATCAGATTGAAGAAGTTTCCTGTGAAGAAGTATGTGGCTATTTTCATCTGGAATGAAAATCTGGATAAATGAGGACTGCAAACATAAAATCGCTAATCTAATTAAACTGATTTGGGGTATTTTTTTGGGAGAGAATAGAGTTATTGTAAAGAAACCACAACATCTAAGGGTTTTGTGACATCATAGAAAAAATAATTTTAGTTTTCCATGCTAAAGTCAACATATAAATACATTTTTAGTCCCATAGCCCTTCATGAATAAAGACGTTCTGTCGTAGCAAAATACATACGTTTGCCTGAAAATAAACACTTAACACATTGACCCGGCTCGCCCAATTTACTAGTAACCCATCATATACCGTATTTATCGGCGTATAACACGCACAGGCGTATAACACGCACCTTCATTTTAAGAGGGAAATTTCAAGAAAAAAAAAGCGCCGGCTCGAGAGCGAAAGCAAAAGGGGAGGGGGAGTGGGGCTTCGTTCACACGCGGATCCCCATGCTCGTATTTATTTACCGTATTATGCCCNCTTCGTTCACGCGCGGATCCCCTACGCTCGTATTTATTTACCGTGTTATGCCCCGTGAGCTGCAGGACTCCGCCGCTTGCTTTATAAACCCTTGGCCGCTGCTCCATCCACACACGCTCGTGCAGGGAAAGGGGGAAACGGGTGGGCCAGCCGGCTCCCCTCTCCTCTTTGTGTGTGTGTGTGTGTTTGTCTCTCTCTCAATTCTCCCCCACCCCGAAAGCGGGGAGGGGGCGACCTTGCAAAAGGGAGGGGGCTTCTCCCGG